CAAAATCTGAAAAAAATTCTAAGAAGAGGAAGCATTCAACACAACTATGGATCCCGGATCCCAAGATGAGAGCTGTTCAGTCATGTTGATAGAGATGCTCCCATGAATCAATGTGTATTGTGAATTTCTATATAACTATGAAAGAATGAGAGAGCGAGACAGAGACTAAACAGACTGGAAGAGGGAGATGCATATATCATGAATACTAGTACGTCTATTTAGACAATAGAAAGAAAAAATAATTAAATTATCTTACGGATTTTACAAAAGTCTCCCTGACGGTTTATCTTCAGGTATAACGATGTCCTATTTCACGAGAAGGCGACCTACTTTTCCCCGTTTTGCAAAACGAAATAAATGTAGGACTGATACGTGATGACTTATTTTTTAGCCTGATATTAATAATAATAATATACGAGGCAACAGTGACCACGGTATAAAATACAAGCAACTAAGTGGAAAACAGCTTCATAAAACGTGTCACACTTCACCCAATGCGCTTCACCCCCTAAAAGAGCTCCATGCCACCCCCCTACTGAGCCACCCAGGAAATTAATGCCCACTACCCCCCCCCCCCCCCCCACTGCATATTCGGCTGAGTCGCCGCTAAATATTTTCTCACGAATTGGGCCCCTCCCTCGCCGCCGGCTGGACCTGCCTCTGGGGTCGGGGGGGGGGGAAGGTGGGGGGGGGGGGGGGGACTAAAGCCAGTCCCAACAAAGCTTGACGCATTTTTTAATGAACACTTTTCGTCAAAGGGGGGGGGGGGGCAAAGATAACCCCTAGATCTGCCAATGCTAGAGTTTACAAATACAATTTGATTGCTCCCCCTCCTCTCTTTGGATGAACAGTGCACACATAAGCATTTGGTAAGCTTTGTTGGGGCTGGCTCTAGTGCACCCCTTGTGCAAAACGACCAAAAACAACGCTAATAAATCTTGTTTTTTGCTTGTCAGAAAACTTTAGGATTAGTGCCCCTCCCCCTCTTTTCGGTAAGTCCTGGACCCACCCTTGCTCTAATGTAGAAGAAAAAAAATAATTAAATTTTATTTTTAAATTCTATGATTGATGGATCCAGGGGGGGAACAACCGGCCTCTACCCTCTCCTCCGTCCAGACCCCTCCCCCCTTTGGACGAAAAGTGCTCACATTAGCACCTGTTAAGTTTTGTTTGGGCTGGCTTTATAGTACCCCTCCTGTGCCAAAACGGCAACAGAAAAATGCTGATGAACCTTTTTTTTTTTTAGCTTGTCAGAATTTGTTGAGGATCACAATTATAATTAATAAATGACACATATTTGTAAAGCTTTGATCCTCCTCTTTCATTTGATGCAACTCATATGATGCATATTTCACGCATGCGTGATTACAATTAGTTTGAAGGAAGGAAACAAAAAAGTCATATGGCGGGTGGTATCTGAATTTAGAAGAAAAATTCACATTTCTAGAAAGTCCATTTTCTGTTCTTTCATATGACACCTCAATCAGGAAAAATGAGCCAGGAATAACAAAGTTCGTTTTGTTTAAAATGATGCTTGCATTTCCATAATTTGATTAAACGAATTCGTTTTCACTAAAAGACTCCGTTCCGTTGACGAACTTGACGATCAAACATAGACGAAAGACTTCATGCAGAAACGGAGAAACGGAGTTAAGTCTTTTGTCAATTCTGCTTGTTGCTACGGCAGGCAGCCAGTAAAAACGAACTTTTAACCCCCCCCCCCCCCCGCTAAGATTAGCGTTGTAGAAGGCCGCGTCACCGGGTGCGAAAAATTCTCTAATAAAAATGGGGAATACGGTAGAGGTAGAGGTCTCATCCTACATTGGCCTCGCACAGTTGATATTGGTCTTTGTTCGAAGCCAGAGGCCTTTGTCATACAAGGGCAAACTCTTTCTTCTGATTGGTTGAAAGTAAAAATAGGTTTGATCGAAGGATGTTCAACGGTGGATCCAGTTAGAGGCAAGGAAAGGCATGTGCCCCCCCCCCCCGAAAACAATCCCATTCCGGTATATGCCCCCCTCCAGGGGCGGCGATCCCGGGGGCACGAGGGGGACATTTCCCCTCAATTTTTTAGGGGGGGGGGGCGTCCCCCCTGGAAAATTTGAAAAAGTGAAGAAAAAAGTGTAAAGCAAATACTGACTAAAGACTGCAACACACTTTATATGGAGGGCCAAAGAGAGCGGCGTTTAGAAAAATGAAATGCAAAAATCTTCTCGCTCCCTCGCATAATATCCTTCCAATTGTACAAGTAAATATTGTAGAAAAGTGAAGTGTGAACAAAATTATATCGCTTGTTTTTATACTATAGTTTGCTAAGGCATGTAATTTTTTGATACCATAAAACTTCGTAAACCTGTGAGAAATAAATCGCCGCCCCTGCCCCCCTCATTGTGCCTACTGAAAATGAATTACCTCTTTTTAAGGACAGGAGCTTATCACAAAATTTCAGTTTGCAATTTCCCTCCTCTCCAGCCATATATCGCCTGGATCCGCCACAGGCGCGGATCCAGGATTTCTTAGGGGTGGGGGCCCAAATTTGAAATCAATTTGAAATTTAGTGTGCTGCAGTATGAAAATCGTGCCGGCCAATATTTCGCTCAGTGGGGGGTCTTCTTTTCTTTTAACGGTGCTGGTCGGCGACTTCTATCATAAATATGGCAATACTAAAGGTCGGATTCTTTATAGGAATACTCTTCGCTAAGCATAAAGTATGACAACAGACACCTGCTCTCTCTCTCTCTCTCTCTCTCTCTCTCTCTCTTTCTCTCTCTCTCTCTCTCTCTCTCTCTCTCTCTCTCTCTAAGTGTCATATCGTTTGACTTTGGCGATCATGCTGTTCCACACCCCTTGGCTCCTAGCCTTCTGTATTAGTACCACTCCCAGTTCTTTCACTCCTCTCTCTTCCAACAATTTCTGCAGACTGTCCATCCAAAGTATCCTCCTTCTCCCCCATGAACTTCAACTGCCTAATCAACATCTCACGTATCATTTTCCTTTGCACTACAGCTCGTGTAAGAACTTCATCATTACTAACTTTGTCAGTCAAGGGAACTTTCATCATTCTTCTTAAAAACCACATTTCGCAACTTTCCAAACGCTTTTTAGTTTCAGAGGCCAAAGTCCACATGCATGAACCAGATATAAACCCTCACTCTCTCTCTCTCTCTCTCTCTCTCTCCCTCTCTCTCTCTCTCTCTCCCTTTCTCTCTCTTTATCATTAATTCTCTTAATAAAAACATATCATGATCCACTTCAACAGAATGATGAAACAATCGAAATTATACAATCCTCTAATTCATCCCTATAGAATATCAAATAAAACAATAACAACCCATTTTTTTTTTTACACAAATGTGTTCACACAAAAGTGACATACATTTATCATCCTTGAATCCTTTCCCTCTTTCACATTTATCATCTGTACATTATAATTGCAGTTGAATAAAGTAGCTTTGATAATCAGGAAAAAGATGCGACTCAAATTCAAATACTTGTAAACTGAAGGTTAACATATCAAAGGACATAATAAACGAGGCTACAGGAAGATAAGGTTCACATTTCACTACAAACAGGCATCTATAGATTAGAGACTATAAAGTATCATAGTTTCTCCCTCTCTTGAAAGGACCTGGATTTTTCAACTTGTAACGATATTTTCCCACCTCTTTATTGTCATTGCCCACTTTGCTTCTTGAATTGAATCAGAAAAGTCTCTTCTTTCTCCTTACATTTCAGAACTTTCCAACAAATACATCAAATGCATTGATTTCAATAGCTTACCAACTCATCAACTCTTGTCGCTAGTTATCCGTATCAAATTTCATGAAACTTAACTCTGAAGCTCAAATTCAAAATAAATTGATGGAAAAATATATGCCCTGTACATTGTCTGTTTAGACCCAGAAGAGTGTTAACTCTTAAAAATATATAAGTTAATTTTCTTCTGGATCCAAACATACAACATCATTAACCATATCATTCACAGTGCACGCTCAAAGGAGCTTTACAATTATATGTACATATGTGTTCCTATAAATTCTGGAATTGAATGGCAAATCATGAACATTAAAATGACAATAAGTTGTGCACAATTTGATTCTCAACGACTGAATTAAGAAATTGGTGATGTTTTCTGACTTGTGGTTTTCATCTCAATCATTTTCCACCTTGTAATGTCCTGTGTATTCAGGTAGTAGCTTAGGCTTGAATGTTCCTTTTACATGTTTTGTTTTGGTTATATTCGATACAATATTTGGCAAATTTATTATGAATTTTTGTGAATTTTTATTTTCTGATATCAAAATGAGATATTATATGTGACGATCACTTGGAAATTTTAAATCATCAAAAAATTAAAATCATTCAAATATTGGTTGGACAAGCAATTTACATAATTTCTGTCCTAAAAGCATGGTCATTGAATTGTACCTCAATACCATATGCTGTTATTAATCTGTTTTTAAAGAATACAGTGAAATGGAGAACATTTACACAGGTCTGTATTACCACTGCTTCCAAAATGTATGGAGAGGAGAGGGGGAGAAAAAAAAGAAGAAATGGAAGGAAGGATTTGGGGGAAGAATTAAAGAATAACAGTCTACAAGATTGCCAAGGATTCAGGTTACACATTATGATACCTATTTCTGTTACACACCTTGGAGAAATACATCTTTATATGGCATTTAAGCTCAAGTTTTGTCATGATACTCAAGAAGCTGTGTTTATAAATGTGCCAAACCATTGGCAAGTCTCTAAGATCCTAAACAAGCTCTGTGTAACTGCAGTGAGCAACTAAATAACATGTGTATGTGCGGTTTTTTTCTTCAGGAATACACACTTTACGTGAAATGCATGAATGAAACTTTGTTTTCTGTACAGGAAAATGTTAAATGACTTGTTACTTTTCGAGAAAAAGAAAGATAACAATATCAAGTCCCGCTGGTTCCAAGATTTTTTCTGACTTGTTTTTTAATACAGATCAATCAATCAATCTTATTTACTGGGTGTAAGCCACAAATATGTTTAAATAACAATATCATGTAGGGTTGAATTTTGAAAAAAAAGGTTGGTATATATAAATAGGTTATGTCATTCTTCTGTTTTCCTGTTCCCTGCAGTTCACAAATCCACTATGGTTATGTACATCCAGCTATACAGTGTGTCCTATTTCCCTCCAAAGACTCCGCCCACTTCATCGTCTTCTCGTACTCCCATGCTCTGTAGAGGGCGGAAGAGACAAGGACATCAGACATTATAGGAAATGTAAATGAATGAGATAATTATAGCATGCTAATTTTGAGGAATGAAAACGATTCACACTCTCATCTGTTTTGAGTCCAAGCTTTCTAGTCAACCTCTAAAATTGAGTGCTTATGAACAAAATTGGTGCATTCCCTGATTTTTGTGGAAAAGCCTGTACCTGAATAAAAAAAAATCAAGATGTACAAGAGGAGTAAAAGACAAGAATGACTCGACAACTAAGCCCCCAAGAGCTCCATTGTTCAACATTTCATCCATCACCCCCTCCAAAAAGTATCCCTGGAACCCCCCCCCCCACCCCCACTTAATGACTACTCGTACCCTTTCAAGGATTGACTACATCCCACTATTATACAGCCCATACAGACAGAACTGCTCATCTGCCTCCTGATAGTTGTCAACAGATTTACAAGACTGACAGCCTATGAGACCAACCGCCCACCAGACCAATATCTTGCCAGCTGTCAGTCTCATGGCCTTTAATCTACTGTGTTATCCCGACTGAGATCATGAGTGCAAAATCATCTCCCTCAATAGCTTATCCTTTCATTCCTTTTAAAGAGATTCCATCATATTTCCCTGCAAGTATCATATGATTTTTGTTTTGTTTTTGGTAGTGGAACTGAGTGTGGAATAATGAAAATGCCAAATTGTATGGTCCATGGTATTTTGTCTTTCATTTTCGCAGCACATGTATCTCTATTTTTTGCATCATTGACAGCCTTTCTATAACTTGGATCAGCGGAAAAACAAAAAGTTGTTTCCTATTTTACCTTTTGAACATATTGCGGGTTAACAGCTATCTCTTGATCCATGCTCTTTAGCTTCTCATCTAGACTGATACAATGCTGCATCTGTTATGACAAATCGGTAATACAAAATAAAACATGACAGAGTTTAAATGCCTTATCATGATCTTGTAAAACCACTATAACTCAAACTTCCTCATTGCCCAGGTCTCAGCCAGCCTCCCAACAATTACAGATGAAAAAGGGAAAATAATATGAGATTATCTTGTGACAGTATTTAAAAGGAAATATACTATTTTTTGTTTACTGATGTTTTGAAAATTTACGACTTGAAGAGCTGTCTAGACACAGAAATTTACATCTCTCCCAGTTATCCTCTTTGATTGCCCATGAATGAAGGTTATTAATGCACCTTATACTTGAATCAATAAATGACACTCTTTATGAAGACCAAGTATTTTTTAGTATTTCTTAATAGCCTTATTGTTGAAAAAGAAGTCTGATAACACTGCAGACCTTTTACTTATACTATTGATACCACACACATTATCTCTCAGTGCCACGTTATATTTATCACAAGATAGATACACCAAATTAGCTTCAAGATTATTCAACTGTTTCCAGTGCAAGATCAGTGTATATTAGTGTTAGAAAAGGTTGTCGAGGAGGTATCCCTTATGGAACAATCACAGTGTTGCCACACTATGTTCACATAGTCAACTATGTGTAAACTGTGTGGACATTATGTGTTCACATTGTTGTCACAGTGTGGAGTTTCAGTCTATGTGGTTTACCACATAATATCCACATAAACTGACATACGTGACACAGAGAACCGCATATTACCACAGTGGTACATGTATTGAACTATGTGTTAACTCTGTGGTCACAGTATTGTCACAGTGTGGGGTTCAGATCATGTGGTTTTCCACATAGCTGTACATATTTAACACAGAGTGACAAACATGTACCACAGTGTGGTATCTACTGAACTATGTGTAAACTGTGTGTTCACAGTATTGTCATAGTATGTGGTCTAAATCATGTGGTTTACTACATAGTCCACATAGTCGTACATATTTAACACAGAGTGATATATATGTACCCCAATGTGGTATGTACTGAACTATGTGTAAATTCTGTGTTCACAGTATTGTCACAGTGTGGTGTTCAAATCATGTGTTTTACCACATAGTCGTACATATTTAACACAGAATGACACATATTTACCACAGTGTGGTATGTACTGAACTATGTGTAAATTCTGTGTTCACAGTATTGTCACAGTGTGGTGTTCAAATCATGTGTTATACCACATAGTCATACATATTTAGCACAGAGTGACACATATTTACCACAGTGTGGTATGTACTGAACTATGTGTAAACTCTTTGATCACAGTATTTTCACAGCGTGGGTTTCAAATCATGATGTTTACCACATAGTCGTATATATTTGATACAGAGTGACACATATTTACCACAGTGTGGGGTTTGATTTACCACATAATCGGTCATATTTCACACACAATGACACATATATTTGCAACAGTGTGGTATGTATTTAACTACGTGCAAACTCTTCGATCACAATGTTGTCTTCCGCATAGTCGTACATATTTAACACAGTGTGCCACATATTTACCACAATGTGGTATGAATCACTATGTGTTAATTTGCATAATGAATATGGGGTGCGTGCAGATCTATTTTTTTATACAATTTATCTGAATTTAAAGCATAATTCTTAATTACTGATGATTAAGTTATATGCAATTCATTTCAAAAGTACTAGAAAATATAAATTGCCAATTATTAGGACATTTTACTACTTTGTGTAAATTACATTCAATTAAACATGAATTAGGGAAATACTAACTATGAACTAAAATATATTCAATAAAATACAAGTATATAGAAAGTTTAGGACAGTTAAACAATCCTACTTATTACCAATGCATTTACATTGGAAATTGTGGATGAACCAGTCACGGTGATGCTGTGTTATTTGTTGCCACTTGCCAAATTAATTAGTACAATTGCTACTTATAGCGTAAAGTACTAATTACTAATATCATCTGGTGTTGATGCCACAGTTTACCAGACTATGTGGTGCGTACCACAGTGTGGTAACGCTGTGGTATACTATGTGGTTTATACCACAGTGTGGGCCACATGTAATCTTGGGACATGTGGTAGTTAAACGCTGTGGTGTACTATGTGGTAGATGCCACATTGTGGGCCACATGTGGTAACGCTGTGGTGTACTATGTGGTTGATACCACAGTGTGGGCCACATGTGATTTTGGGACATGTGGTAACGCTGTGGTGTACTATGTGGTTGATACCACAGTGTGGGCCACATGTGATTTTGGGACATGTGGTAACGCTGTGGTGTACTATGTGGTTGGTACCACAGTGTGGGCCACATGTGATTTTGGGACATGTGGTAATGCTGTGGTGTACTATGTGGTTGATACCACAGTGTGGGCCACATGTGATTTTGGGACATGTGGTAACGCTGTGGTGTACTATGTGGTGCAGTCGATACCACAGCGTTACCACACTGTGGTAAGCACCACATAGTACACCACAGTGTTACCACATGGACCAAATCACAGTGTTACCACACTGTGGTAAGACACTGTGTTTGACTATATGGTACACAGTGTGGTTCACTATGTGGTAACACTGTGATTGTTCCATTTTGGGACTTAATTATGATTAAGACCCAAAATGTGTATTTTTCAAAGCCATAAAATGTTTTGTGCAAAATTGCACATGTGGCAAATCAGTGACTGTGCAGAGATGTGATGAGATCAAATAAAGTGATAAAAAAAAACTGACAAACGATATCTGTAGTTGGGAAGATGAAATCTAAATGCCTTTACATGAACATTCAAATGAAAACAATAATTCCTGACTTCTTTTACATCCGTGAGAATAAGAATGCATCTGTATGCTCATCCAAATACCAACTTATACACCCAAAAATGTGGATACAGGATTTTTTTCTAATTAACTAAAAGAACTAGAACTCTGAAAGATACATACATGACCCAAGTTTGGAGGGAATCCATCAATTGGTTCTTGAGATAACCGATAATGAGAACGTGACGTACGGACGAAAAACCCGAAAACGTAATGCCTCTGCCTACTTTGTAGCGGAGGCATAACACTCTTATGAAGAAATTGCTCCACATTAAGGCTACGGATATAAATAATTTTGCTTCCAGAATAGGTGAAGAAAAGTTGACTAACCTGTTGCTCGACATGTCTGAGTACTGCAGGGTTTTCAAATTTTCTGGGTTGTCATGGAAATGAACCATTCCATTCTGTTTGCTGATAGTTGCATGGATCTCACCGTCTTCAATCTGAAATACAGTAATCAAATTTTGTTTATTTCAATTCAAAGTACATACATATCTCTTTGTAGTACCATTAATTTCAACCACAACATTTACACTTCCAGTGTAATTTACACCTCAATCAAAATAAAGATCTCCATTATCAATTTACCAGTAGACTGAAATTCAAATTTTAAATTTTAATTATTTCATAACCATTTCATCAGATGATAATCTACTGTAAGTCTCCAGTCAGGTACATCTTTATCTATCTTCAATTTGATCCTAAACCAAATTCAGATTCTATATAGAGCAATGTATTTTACAAGTTGCTCCGTAACCACTCAACAAAACCTCTCAAAATGTTTTCGGTTATCAAAATAAATATGAGAAGAGAAAATAAATGAGAAACTTTAAGACTTTTATTGATTGGTATTGAATATAGTTGTATAGTCCTGCAAATCAAATTTTCTCCAGGGGCAAATTTTCCCTCGTAGGCCCCATTTTCATTCCATCACTCTGTTTCCTTTACCGTATTTCTGACATACTGCTCAGCCTCTTGCGGTGCATGTAGATGAACTCTCCTTGCGATGTCACTCAGAGATAACGTGAGGAAGGTCTAAAGAGAAAGACCAATACTGACAATGAATATCCCCTACTGTACAACTCAATCTTCACCTCTACTTCACTAGTATGTCGCCCTCTTGTGTGGCAATTGAACTCAACTGCATTACGCGCCTTAGAATTCGTTATGGCTCCAAAGTTCACAAATATATTTCATGCATACATGTACATGTGTTAGATTTTTCTAATAAAAATTGCTAAAAAAATAATTCTTTTCTTTCATTTGTCACCATTTTTTTAAGGAAGAGTAAACTCAAAATTAAAGAAGGCAAGTTTTCATGATTCCAAAAATTATTGTTATTGAATCTGAGAAGTATAAAGTAATGTAGAACATCTAAGAATTTAGGTTAAAGCAGTGCCTTTTTTTTTACAACAGACATAATGATAAACTGCACATAATTCTTAGTGCCTAACTGCACTGTGAAGCAGATTATTGCAACAATCATTGTAAAACCACATTTTAAAGAAAAAACATCTACATTACACATACATGCAAATTGTTTCCAGCTGGACAGCGCCCTCATAAGGATAATGTTATTTCATGTTCAGGATGTATACATGTATTCTCCTTTCTTTTTTTCTTTCTTTGAAAGAAATATTTGTTTGTTTGTTGTTTTTTGTTGTTTGTTTTTACCTGACTGCTTAGAAATGAGTATGCTTGTAATGAAGCAACCAGAAGACTGACGGCTGTAAGTTCTTTCTGAGATGCTTGTGCATGAGGATTAATGCCTTACCAAAGAGCACTAGCGTATCGATTCAGTTTCAAACCCAGGACCTCCCAGTTACTGGCCCACTGCTCTACCACTGAGCTATCGTGCCTCCTGCCTGATTATGTAGACGTACATCATGCAGCATAATTCTTTATTTTTATATTTTTCTCGAATTTAATATACTTGCAATTCATTGCTTGTTGTATCTTGCTATTTACTTAATATGTAAACTCACATGGATTGTTAGATCTTGATTTTGTCAAATAAATAATAATGATAATAATAACAATAATAATAATTGTAAACAAAATTAAAAATAATAATAACTGGATGGAACTTCGACTGCGGCCCAGTCGGAAAATAATGCCTCCGCCAAAGAGCAATTTTTCAATCCATTAACATGTTCCCAGAATATTGTGATTACAAGCTATTTTTCATATACATGTATGACCCCTTGATCTTTGACCTCATGACCCTAACATCTAATCAGTTCATTGGCTTTGCAAGATACATACATGTCCTAAGTTTGATAGTAATCCATCCATCAGTTCTAATGAGAATGCGTTGAGAAGCTATTTATGCATACATAATGAGCCCCATGACCTTTGGCATGGAAGTTGGCACAGTATGTAAACCTCCCCAATGCACCCAGGCCATTCAAAAGCTATCAAATGAACTCAAGTTTCCTTTCAAGATGCTGGCAGATAAATGAAAAAAACTGATAAAAACTAAATAAACATTGCAGGAATCTACCAATCAATTTGAAATCCACATCTGGCGAAAAAAAATTTAAAAAAATCATATTGCTTACTTTTGTAAGTCGCTGGATATTCTTTCGATAAAGTGATGACTTTGTGCCTTGACTTTCATGATATAATATCGTCTGTTCAGAGCCAGAAGGGCGTTGTCTCTATGTAAAAGCATATGAGTTGATGCCCTTCTGGCACCAAACAAATGATATTATACATACAGGTGAACAGTCTGTACTTTGCCTTTCATCTCATTCAGTCTGCAAACATAATATTAAAATACATGTATCAAAGGTCTGCTTATCTGAATACTGTTTACTGAGTCTCCTTCCCGCCCTCCCCCCCCCCCCCCCCCCCCACTCAGTGTTATTTAGGGTACGCTTATGCTTGTTCCCTCTTTTTGAAAGCACCCCCTATCTGAGGGTAACCATCTGAGGACTGCCAACATTTCCGAACCCCCCTTTCGCGGGCTTTTCTTGCCTTGGAGACCCCCTAAATTCGGAATAATTTCTCAGGAGTCCAAAGAGATGAGAGAAAAAACACCCCCTTTTATTTTACAATTCTCGGGCCGGACTTTGTCGCACGAAAAGTACCCCTTTAACGGACATTTTGGTAACACGCATGCGGTCATTCCGACCCCGGAGTTGGGGGCCGGGGTCTCCTTATCACTTATGAAAATTTGTTCTATACAAAGGTTAATGATATTTTTTGTCATCTTTCTTGCCTCAAGATGTTTGAGCAAGAGTTTTGATACTGTTTACTGAGTCTCCATATCAGTTCAATCAACCTTCGGGAAAGATCCATACTTTCATGTATGTACCGGTAGTTAAACTGATGAGAATGCTTCTCCTAAAAATAAATGAATAACATTACAGGAAGATCTGTTCATGCATCTGTTCAGACCACAACACATACATACAACCTATGTATTTCTGCGATAGGAGGAGGAATGTTACTTACTTTATTGAGCTGGTCAGAATGTTTTTCTAGAACACTGCTCACATCAGATGGGTTGTTTGTAGAGTAAGAGTTGGCAATCTCTTGGTACAGTTGGCTCAGTGGCGGTGGAAAAAAAGGGTACAAGGTACAAGCACGTACTGTCAATAAACTCAATATATTGTTTGTGTACTGGTATATCAATATTCTAATGTCTTATCAAGCAATCAACTTTTATACAGAGTCAACATGACACTCCTACGTGTGCTGACTCCCTCTGCAATACACATTCCTGGCATCAACCGCTTCACATGTTGAACCGTAATACATGTAGTCTACGAAGCGATCTCTTCAACAAGTTTGGAGGACATACAATGAATTATTTGGATGGCAGTTTGACAACGTTTGAAGTATACAGGTACGTTTGTGTAATATTTTTTCTTATCAGTCATCACGCCAATTTACTTAAAATAAATACAGATTTAAGTTAAATGTTATCATATTTGTACCTCCATATGTCAATTTTATTTAAACTCCTGCACAGAATAATTATAGTGTCATACATTGCCCTGTTTAATACTGAACAGTTACCAAACTTGCTATTAAGAAAACTGGGAAATGATTACATGAGTTAAGAACCGAGGAACATTGTTAGCCCACTAGTAATAATCAGTTCCTTACTTCCTTTGGATATGAATTTTCCACATGTATTGTCTGATAGATACTGTTGCCCTCATGCCTTTACACAGGCTATATCGATGCCCATTATACTGCATGAATGCACCTTCATTAACATTATTTTTTTTAATAAAATGTCCCATACGTTGATTTATTAACAAAGACTTGTTATTAAAATTAGATTTTACATAAAATTATCTAAAAGAAAAACAATTGTGGCTATATTTAATAGTGCATACATGTACTGAGCGTCAAGTAACGCCATGTGAATTGGGTAAAGGCATGAGTAGTCACTCTCCAACGAAAGCCAACGAAAAGAGGGAAATGTATACCAAAATATCTCATTGAATAGCCAGGGAATGTATTGCAAACTAATCATTGATATTTATTCATTTGCTTGAGTACTAACTGAAAATATAAAGCTTCTGCACACAGTGCACAGATGATGGTTTTAAAAGATTTACTCCTTTTTCCTCTACATACCGGTAATTACAATATCAGTCTTTATAATGAATCAAAATAGACTTAAAATGTTATATCATGGTATGAAATTCCTTATACATGCTTCTTTACTAAATTCTTATATAGGTTTGCAGCTCAAGAATCCAGCAGAAGCATAGAATCAAAGTACGGATGGACTTAACTGTGAATTAAGAGAAATCCATCCCATCCAACCATCAAGTAACTGTGATTTCACACTAAACTAAGAACACTGCACATTAAGAAACGTTGTTGGCAAGTCAACCGGACTTCATTGTGATAAACGTGCATAAGCATACAACCAGAGCCAGTGCCTCCTAACAGTGAAGACACCCTACATATACATGGCAAATTGTATCATAGACAACGTAGTAGATTTCATGGTTTAACTTTGAACATACAGTCAATGAGTCAAGCAGAAAAGAAGGGGGACCTTTCTCAGCGAACGGATATATTCTGAAAGGAGGTTGCATCGGAGCGTATACATGTTTGAACGTCAATAAAAAGTAACAGTACTTTTTATTTGGATCTGACCCATTGTCAGCATCTTGCTGAATATAAAGTTTTGTACAGTTGTTTAAAAAACTTGATACTAAATACAGAATGCCCTTTTTAGGAATTATGATTAATTGATCTTCCTTTGATGCATCTTGATTTCCCAAATCTGTACAAAACATTATTTTATTCTAGTCTTGGGAAGCAATCAGTCAAAATGAATTTTCCAGTCATTTTTATATTCATTGCATTTGCCATGTGTAACGTGTGTAAATCTGAAGATGAATGGAAGACTGTTATAGAAGGGGCTAGTGTACATCTTCATTATCCATATCCTTGTAACAGTATTAGAGTCAAACTACAATATGGATACAGAGCCCCTTTTTACACATTGGCAGATACAGAATCTATCGTCTTACCCCCTGCACAGGTAAACAGATTCACTTTCAGGAATAAAAGTGAATCTGATCATTGCTCACTACAGGTTAGTATTAACCATGTAAAGAGAATTGATGCTGGAACATACATCTTCTTCGCCTATAGTGAGGATGGTATATATGAAAGTTCATTTAAAAGAATTGGATTGAATGTTGATTTTCTGCCCGGCAAGGCGTCTTGTACAATGGGTAAAGAGAACACGGTTGGTAATTGGGTAGCACTAGATTGCATGGCTCCAGTTGGGACTTTATCAGGTCAAATTGATTGCTTTCAGAGTGGGGAGAAAATGCCCCCAATTACAGAACCTACTGAAACCCACACACATTTGAAGCAAACCATACTTGTTAAGAAAAAGGACCCAGTGTTTTGTTGTACTTCTACATCGGAGCACACTAAAGATTTGTGTGATTGTAATGATTGTCAATTGGACCTAGCCAATGACCTAAACCTGAACTCGGTCATAGATCCATGTGGTCTAACGACATTATCGCAGGATCAAACAAAGACCAGTGATATTGCTTTCACTCCCTCAAAACCAGTATCTACAACAGCAACAACTATCAAGATCAATTCGAACAGTTCAGTACCATGGAAATATGTGGTTTATGGCCTTGGTTCTATTCTCACATTAGCTGGTTTCGTCATTATTTTGATTGTTTTAATGCTCAGATCAAGAAAAAAAAAGCTAATTTACCTTAGAGCAAAATTGTTTGAAACTAAACTCAATCCACGTGTACACAAAGACACGTACCAGCGTTCAATTACGATATAAACATAAAAATGAATCAGCAACTTCTACGTGAACCCTGTGGTTTCTGTATTGAGCCTATATTAGAATGAGGAGATTCAGTAGTCAATGAGTTATAAAGAACAGGCGCGCCAGAAGCAGTGTGGGTTAGTTTTGTTGTTGTTGTTGGGGGGGGGGACAAACATTCCAGGGGCTCACCTTTCAGGGGCACTTGCGTAATGAGCAAAATCGTTTGTGGGGGCGGGAGATAAATCTGCATCACCATCACTCTTATAATTATGTTACATGCAGGCCCCGCGGAACGTTTTTCAAAGTGGAGTATTAGAGCGTAGCAATTAAGTGAAGCGTAAATTGGCATGGGGTCCAGGGGCGGAGTTTTAAAGTACAAATCCACTCCACTGAAAAGTTGAGCTGATTAGATAGACAAAAATCTAAAAAGCCCAAATATAACTTGGTTTTGGAAAATGGTGCTCAGACTTGTTTTTAATAATTTTCACAAAAAATGCATTTTGCCCCCCCCCCCCCCCCCCCCCACTTCCGGCGCCCCTAATAAAGAAGGTTAAGTTCCATCTGGTTTTATAATGTGAAGAAACACCATTGTGAGCATTCTCTTTCTTTAAATCACAATTTGGAGGAAGAGAATAATATATTAATGTCCTATGAAAAGCTTACACATAAAAATGCTTTCATCAATCACATACATTGTATATGAAGAAATGCTGTTTGGTTACAATTTTCATGATTTGAAAACTTAATTATAAATTTATCTTCCATTTACTATGTAATATACCATTCAGGAAATATTCTTGACAGTTTCTTTTGAAAAGAAACTGCATGACTTGTAATGAACGTTATGTGTATATAAGAGACCAATATTGCTTCTAAATGTGTGTACACTCAGTTTGTATGAAGAAAACAAAATTGTGTTTGCTTTGGGAAATGAGCAGTTAAAATACATTTTATAAAATGCATTGGTTTCTTCTTTTACTAACAATGCCACTATCACACTAACAAGATTGACATATTAAAGACAACTGATATAACAAAGATTAAAACAAATATTACTAAATGGTCAGTTTTTAATCAGTTGAGTGTCAGTTTGACAGCGTGACTTAGGCATGTACAAGCAATAACCATTAATAATATATATATAAAGACAATTTTGTATTGTTCTATTTTGTACAGTATTGTGTTATTACCAACGATCATATGAATATAAATTGCGTTTAAATGTAAATATTGTGTTGTTTTGTAAAAAGTGTGTCAATTTTGCAATTACCAACAACAATTCTCTATTGAAATGTATATTTTGTTGTGTTATTTAGTATTGGTTGCAATTATCAATAATTATTTTTCTTTACGTTATTTCAGTATTCTATAAAGTAATGACCACAATTATTATATTTACATTTTTTGTTTGAGTGTTCTATTTTGTATATAGAGGTACTTTATTAAATGCATTTTTTGTTTGATCTTATTTGAAATTTGTTTACATACCTAACCGCTTTATCAGGAAATGCATAGACATTTCAAGATGAGACTGGATAAGCACTGGTGGTCTGAGCGATTTGAACTAAGTTAATTTGATATGATCAAAACCGTCCTAAACCTGCGCATGTGCAATGAGTTAACCTCTAGAACATAACCAACCCCGAAGAAGTGACCGAGGGTTACAGGATCTACCTCTCCTCGTATCATGATGATGATGATAGACAGGGCTACCAACTACTACGCTGAATAATGGTACATGTACATTCAGCAGTTATGTCGATCGAAGCTTCACATTACTTAAAAAGAATACTTTAACCTTTAAAATTTTCTCCTTTGTTTGCCTTTTGTCGTGAAATGATATCTGTATTCACAGTATTACGATATCGGTGTTAATAAAATGTTCTCCTTTGTTTGCCTTTTGTCGTGAAATGATATCTGTATTCACAGTATTACGATATCGGTGTTAATAAAATTTTCTCCTTTGTTTGCCTTTCGTCGTGAAATGATATCTGTATTCACAGTATTACGATATCGGTGTTAATAAAATTTTCTCCTTTGTTTGCCTTTTGTCGTGAAATGATATCTGTATCCACAGTATTACGATATCGGTGTTCATAAAATGTTCTCCTTTGTTTGCCTTTTGTCGTGAAATGATATCTGTATCCACAGTATTACGATATCGGTGTTAATAAAATGTTCTCCTTTGTTTGCCTTTTGTCGTGAAATGATATCTGTATTCACAGTATTACGATATCGGTGTTAATAAAATGTTCTCCTTTGTTTGCCTTTTGTCGTGAAATGATATCTGTATTCACAGTATTACGATATCGGTGTTAATAAAATTTTCTCCTTTGTTTGCCTTTTGTCGTGAAATGATATCTGTATCCACAGTATTACGATATCGGTGTTCATAAAATGTTCTCCTTTGTTTGCCTTTCGTCGTGAAATGATATCTGTATTCACAGTATTACGATATCGGTGTTAATAAAATTTTCTCCTTTGTTTGCCTTTTGTCGTGAAATGATATCTGTATCCACAGTATTACGATATCGGTGTTAATAAAATGTTCTCCTTTGTTTGCCTTTTGTCGTGAAATGATATCTGTATCCACAGTATTACGATATCGGTGTTAATAAAATTTTCTCCTTTGTTTGCATTTTGTCGTGAAATGATATCTGTATCCACAGTATTACGATATCGGTGTTCATAAAATGTTCTCCTTTGTTTGCCTTTTGTCGTGAAATGATATCTGTATCCACAGTATTACGATATCGGTGTTAATAAAATGTTCTCCTTTGTTTGCCTTTTGTCGTGAAATGATATCTGTATTCACAGTAGTACGATATCGGTGTTAATAAAATGTTCTCCTTTGTTTGCCTTTTGTCGTGAAATGATATCTGTATTCACAGTAGTACGATATCGGTGTTAATAAAATTTTCTCCTTCGTTTGCCTTTTGTCGTGAAATGATATCTGTAGATTTAATGATATTTTGATTTCAAAGCTAATTATTAGTTTTCAGACACCTTTTGTTGTTACCGCTCCTTTGTCTTTGTTAATATAATTTTTTATTATTACAATATTCTACATGTTATAGAATTCACAGGTTTTGAAAAGTATGAACCATAATTGTTGAAATATATCTATTTCCCAACTAAAGAGTTATTTGGGCTTTTCAAAACTGTTCTTGGTATCTGTGCTTGGGAGAAATGGAAAATGCTATTATTTTTCCTTTTTATCCATTGCCATTTTAATTTTTATGGTCTTTTGATTTCATTATCTTACCCCAAAAATAACCAATGGTAAGCTTCTGTGATGTGTAATGCCGTACGATTGTAGCTACCGGAAGTGTGTCATTGAATGTAGCTAGCAAGTACATGTAACAATACTGAATGGCTCATGGCATATATTTTGTACAACTTTCTCTTCCAAAGACGGAATAAAGGATAATTACACTATCTAATTTTTTGACGACTGATTGTTCATTGTTAATTTGTCTTTGCAATTTTTTGTATATCTAAATGAAACTCTGTACCTTCTGATGTGCCATTTCCCCCATATTTAAATACAGAAATCGAACCTCAATAGCAAGCAAATTTAAAATAAAGCCGAAAAGTCAGCGAATCAGCCTGTGAAATTTTAAACGAAATGGGAAATAAAATAAGAAAGTTATGATTTTTTTTAACGTTTAGCCACTATACGTATGGAAACTTCGAATGGGCTGAATCAGTAATGTCACTTTGATGTAGTGCCGGACGCGACCCGGACACCTTTCCTATTTGTCCGAACAAGTAAGAGATATTTCCTTGTCTCTCGAACTGTACCAACAAAGCAGGGGCCATAGCAGCAACAAATAATATCATCTTTAATTAATGGATTGTATGCTAAGTTTTTCCAAAATACAGTCTTATATAATGGTTGTTCTGTTTTGTACAATAACGAACATCGAAAATAATATCGCTAGTGATATTCGTTTGTCTCGCAATGTGGTCAATAAGGAATCTAAAAAATCACGACGTTTCGTGCGCTATCTGCAACACTTCATCAGGTGATAAAAACTAAAGCAAGCAAGGGTCTTTCATACTTTACGGGAGGACCAGCGGAGCGGTCTATAATTCGATCGATAATTGGAACAATAACGCACAATACATTACTTTTTATCACCTGACGAAGTGTTGCAGATAGCGCACGAAACGTCGTGATCTTTTAGATTCCTTATTGACCACATTGCGAGACAAACGAATATCACTAGCGATATTATTTTCGATACTACATCCGCAATGAGTAATATATTTAACAATAACGAACATACCAACATTTTTTTTATACTGGATTGAGCAAGAAGCTTCTTTCTATCTTAGGTCAACATTCTACAGATATTTCAACAACAAATGCCCGAGACAGGATAATAATACATAATATTTTGAATTAAATTGTCTGCTAATACTATTTGACCGATCAATAATCTAAACTATCTTGATCAGGGGCGTCGCTAGACCTTTTTCAGTGGGAGGGGGGGGGGGGGTGTAGAGGCCACCGATTATCGACAAAACTAGCCACCAATTACCGACAAATATCCCAATGTCTACCAATCTAACCCTATAAACCCGGGGTAATTTACCGCGACGACATAAATATAAGATTTATTTCGTCAACTAAGTCAGCATCGTAATTATATATTATTTTAGGATCTTATTTTACGGGAGGGACGGTAGTGAGCAAGCGAAGCGTGCGAATCACCCCCTAGCGCGGAAGCTTAGACGTTCCATGTAATTATTAGAAAAAGAAGACGATTCGTTGTACCGTTCTCGACTCTTAATACACAGTTAAAATTTTAGTGAACATGTTGTTTAAAAGTTTAAACAACTTTGGATTAACGGGTGACCTGATCTAAGAGTTGTTTAAAATGTTAAGCAACTCGAGTTGTTTAAAGTTTAAACACTTAGTTGATCAACAACTTGAACAACTTGTTTAAAATCACAATTTAAACAACCGGTGTTGTTTAAAGACGGTTGTTTAAAACGGAGCTGTTGTTCAGTGGGGGTTGTTTACACCAACTGGGTTGTTGAAAGAAAGTTGTTTAAAACGGAGCTGTTGTTCAGTGGGGCTTGTTTACACCAACTGGGTTGTTTAAAGAAAGTTGTTTAAAAAGGAGCTGTTGTTTAATAATAATAATACTGGATTCTTATATAGCGC